TGGTTCCCTGTTATTGTCAGCTCTTGAAGACTTTGTGACGTCATTCACATGATACAAAAAGACGTATTCTGCCATGCTAAGGAAGAACGCCGCATGAGCATTCGAGAGTTGCCAAATTTCCTTTGATAAAATGTTTATTTCTTAGGAAAGTTATACATATTTTTCCTTTAAAGTTTCAGGAACTTTAAGTGAAATTGCGAACAAAATTACATGAAAAATTGGATGGAAATTATTCTTGAGTTTACCAGGAAATTTGTGTTTTATCAAAGAAATCTGGCAACGCCTGAAGGTTCATACGGCGTTTTTCCATAGTAAGCACGGCAGTATTCAAGAGCTCACCTACGCGGCATTTAGCCTTTACATCATCTAGCACCGATGACACCTGACCTAATGTGAGTGTCATCAAGATCAAAGGACATTAAAAATTATCCAACTTTGTTCCTATCTTAAAGAAGAGAGCTCTCCAACTCTGGGAGCGTTCGTAAATGGTCGTGATAAGGGAGGGTACTGCGTGGCATGACAACCTGAGGATTCGCCGTGGATATAAACACGGGTCCAATTTGACATTGACCGAATAAGGGACGATATGTAATCACGAGATGAATAATTAAAAAGGGCGTGCTCTGGGTCCCGCATAACTGAGTGCGGAGTTTTCGTGTTGGCTTTTCCACGCCATTCCTCGCCCAGCGACCAGGTCTTGCCGCGAAATGTCATCCGCACACAGAGAGGGCTCCTCATGACACGATGTCACATAACTACCAATCACCGATTTGTTTTGCGGTTAATCAGGCTTATTAATTCCGCGACGCGGTTTATTAAACCCATCAATCGTGAAAAGTCCAGATTCTAGCAATACAGGGCAGTAGCGTGGCGTGAATTGCGATGTATCGATTGCTCTGCCATTTAAACCTATGGTGAAGAATCGATTGTTAAGGTGTTCGCTGCGAACACCCTGTTTATCAATACTTTTCCATAGATTTAAATGGCAAAACAATCGATACATCGCAAAGCACGCCACGCCATTGATACAGGGTGATCCAGAACTAAACGGCGAGACTGCAGGAGCGTGTTCCATGGGTCAAAGTAAGACTTTTTTGTTGTAAAGTTTTTTCCAAAAATTCCCCCAGTTGAAGCTACGCCCCTTTCCCCCAAATTTCGGAAAGTAAATTGTTTTTCCTGAATATTGAGAACAGTTGTAAACCAAATCTCATAAAAATGTGCACTCCCCTGTACTTGCATGCCCTGAATTCATAAATGATCTAAAAAAAAAATCGAAATCTCAATTTAAAGAAGGGGTTTGGGAGTGTTCCGGCTCTTGCAATCTGGCCCTAGATCACCCTGTATTAACACATAGTGGCCACGCTGTCTATCCAGGCACTCTACTGCCATACCGCGGAAAAACGCCGTAAGGTCCTTCAGACGTTGCCAAATTCCCATCGATAAACTACGAATTTATTAGAAAAGCTATGCTTATTATTCTTTTAATTTTTCAGACAATTTGTTCCCCAGTTAAATCTAAAATATACGCAAATCTTAAAGGTAACTATTCACAACATTCCTCATAAATACACGTCATATCTGGAGAAATTTGGCAACTCTCGAATGTGCATACGGCGTTCTTCCTTAGCATGACAGCAGTCTCACCGGGAAAAAGAACACATTGGATCTAGAGTCCAGACCCTTGAAAACATTGACAAGAAAAAATACTCTTGATTCAATCGGATTTTTGCTTGAATCAAAAGGAAATCCGCTTAAATCAAGAGGCTTGGTTCTTGATTTAAGCTAGATTCTGATTGAATCAAGAGTACTTTTTCTTGTCGATGTTTTTAAGAGTCTGGACTCTAGATCCAATGTGTTTTTCTTCCAAAACGTGTATCAAACTGCTTTACTTATTTTACGGACAGCCTCTTGCGTATGACAGAACTCATATAAGAATGGGCACATTCCCTTCAAAAACGAAACAAAGTCGGACAAATTAGTCCCTAAGGTGGGGGAAAGGGGTTATGATAGCTATACATCACAGCTTTAGAGGGGTCGATTCTGCATCAACTGGCGCTAAGAACACCTAAAAATTGTCCAAAAGTTCAAGTTCGGATCGGACTTGGGACCAAAATTCAGTTTAACTATGCAACCACTGATGCCATAAGTTGAAATGATTTTGTTCCAATGCACGTAACATCATTCGGTCGTAACTTGGTCGCAAGCGCACTCCAATGATGCGATGTTTGAATCGATGACATCAGATTTGTCATCGGGTGTCGATGAGGATGACCAAGATCTCGGTTGACAGTGACCTACAATTAGGAGTTAGCCGAAGACCATAATCAGCGGCGGAGGAGCGAACGCTATTGTAAACAAACCACCGGTCTCGTGGAAATCGTGAGTTCAGCAATCGTGCCAGTCTCCTATAATGAGTACTGTGTTTTCATTTTCCGAACCTCGCAGCTCCGCGCGTGAGGTATCGTTTTTTCACTATTTACAAAGCATTGAATGCGGAAACTCGGTGCGGTTTCCTCTCGCACCTACGATTGGACGTATTTCTATCAAACGAAACTATGTGCATTAGAACATGATCCCTGAGACCCATAAGAATATATGCATTACAGGGCTCACGTCACAATGAACATAGTTCCGTGTGATAGAAATACGTCCAATTGAAAAAAATCGCTCCATTAGGTATTGAATCGCCATTGAATTTCCATCGATTTGCTCTGTGGTGTTCTCAATACCAGAATACTATAGAGAAAAAAAGGTGTTTGTATCTCGGGCATCTTGGATTTTTTTGATGACGTAGGTCGGCACGGACGAGTTTTATCATCGCTTTTCTTGGAAATGGTATAGTTTATGGAAAAAATTTATTCTATATAGTGTTTGAAATTATATCATGAGTTGATTTAAGCAAAAAAAATTGAACGATATGGTCCGTTTTTCATACTTCGAATTCCGGATTTTGCTGGCCAGGTTGTACTGATTTACGTCACGGGGTAAACAATCCTCAAAATGCAAACACCTTCTTTTGTTCCTCTAAGCTACTCAATACTGTCGTGCTAAGGAAAGACGCCGTATGAAAATTTGGAATTTGCCAAATTTCTTCCGTTAAAATGTTTCTTTTGGAGTAAATCTGCGTATATTTTCCTTTGAAATTTGTAGATATTTTAGATTAAAGTGCCAACAATATCGTCCAACAAATTGGAAGAAAAATATTCACAAGTTTCCTGGTAAATTCGTATTTTATCAAAAGAAATTCGGCAGCGACTGGAGGGTTCATTATGGCGTTTTTCCGTAGCGCGGTAGAATGATTCACATTGCGCGTGTAAATTTTGCATTTTGCAAACTTCCAGTAAAACTGAGTTGCGTTTTCAGGGAAGGATACTTTTTTTTTCTTGTCGAGGAACGAAGGGCTTATGAACCCTTTCCTAGAGCGCGGCGCGCGGGGGTTCTGCTCTGTATTGAAAGTTTAACAATTTTCCAAGGCAATTTTTTGTAAATTTAGACCTTCTAGAGGCTCTTTTGAGGTTTCTTAAAAGTTTCCTGCAAAGACAATGTGAATATACGAATTGTACTCATAATAAATTCTGTGCATAAGCCAAGAGGATTCGCTAAGCTGTGAACCTCTTACATGACTCTAATTCGGCTATGTTCAAAATGTTCCATCCTTTACTAAAATTTTTACAGGGCCGGATTAAGGAGGTGACCACATGTGCCGCGGCCCATGGCGACAAATCTATAGGGAGCGGCAAATTTTGCAATGTTTTTAAATGTAGGTATAAAGAAAAATCGGATTTAGAAAGAAAATTACAAACGAGAGAAGGCGACAAAAGCTCTCATTTCCTGAGAGTATAATAATTTCTAATTTTGTCGTCTTTCAGAGATAAAAGAGACAGCACCTTTAATTATTCAAGTTAAGAGAGAAACCAAATAGTTAAAACACGCAATTTGGCCCAGAACGGCGGGACTTAGAGAGAAATGATAATGAGGACTTGAGATGAAAAGGAGAAGCCCTCGGCGGGGCGATCGGCATGTAACACATATTAGCGCCTACAAGACTGCACGAATACTTCACGCATTGCATCAAACAGAGTGCGGTTATTGCGGTCAGCGTAAAACGGATAGCGCCTACAAGACTACGTGAATACTTCACGCATTGCGTCAAACACAGTGCATTCAGCAGCGGTTGGCGTGAAACTCACAGCGCCTACAAGACTGTCAGAATACTTCACGCATTGCGCCAAACATGGTGCGGTCAGCGCGGCGCGGCGGCGGAAGTTAAAATCATTAATCCACATTTATGTTTGTTCTTTCATAATTTTTTCGTTCATTTCTTACGAATGGAAGGCCTTGTCCACACAGAGATAGGTTCACGAAACTTAACTCCCGCACAAAGTTCCGTGAACTTTTGCTAGTAGTGTTGACAGGGCTTTCGCAAAAAATGTGTCCAACACGAGTAAACGCGTCTTATGCACCCCTCCCCCGCTGGCACGTTCATTAGATGGTTTTTATCGATGTTTCAAAACTAATGAGAAGGGGGCGGCAAAATACAGTCGGCCCATGGGCGGCAAGTAGGTAAATTCGACCCTGATGGTAAAACTCGAGATTTGCGAAATGTCGACCAGTGTTCTAGGCTTGGATACCTACTAAAATATAGGGTTATCGTTCACTGAAAAAAACAGTAGCTCGGATCAAGCATGATAATTCTTGAATTTGCCGCCAAGAATTTTCTCTATTTTGCTTTAGGCTGACTTTTTCTTGATTAAAGAAAAATAATGGTTGGGTCAAGCAAAAAAGTAGCTTATATTAACCAGCAAAATTATTGATTTAAGAAGAAATACTTTTTGGCGGCAAATTTAAGATTCTTTTTTTCCAGCGTTCCCTCAGGAATCTGAGTTATTTTTTTACCTATTTGTATGCTCATTTTTCAAATCATTATTCAAATCATGAAAATACTTGGAGAATAATCTTCGTCAACTATAGTTAATAAATGTTTCCTTTTTATGTTGCAGCAATCTTATTTAACTAAATTCGGGTACTTGCCAGAATCCGATGTAGAAATTGGAAACTTAAGGACTGAAGAACAACTTAGAGAAGCTATAAAAAATTTACAAGTAAGTTTTCAGTGCTTCCATTTTTCTATTTTTAAGGGATGGAAAAAAATATCCCCAAATGTATCAAATAAATATGTTATGGTGCAAGCAAGGAATATTTAAAGAGCTTTGAAAGCAACTTCGATATGTTCGAGCTCTTTCGAGTAACCCCTCAATGTGGTTCTACGAGGTTTTTGCAACCTTTGTGCACAACAAACGTGACTATTAAAAGTTTAACTTAGAAAGTCATAGGCCTCCGGCAAATGGTTTAGCGAATGTTTCAAGACAATTGAAGGGTGGTGTAAAAAGGGTAGGAAGTAAAAAAGTAACCTTCCGGCCTCAGTTTAGATATCAGACCGATTATCGAAAGAGTGAGCAGCCAATTTTCCCCTTTATTTCTAAACTTGTTTGCACTGTCTAGACATATTGACGGTAAATTGGAAGTTATTGCACTGTTCAAATCTATTGAAGACTGCTGAGTCAAAGATAATAAATGGGCCATCGCCTTAACATTACCAGAATGATTCTCTCCTCTCTAGCCTCTCAGTAATCGGCACAGTTATTGATTTAAAGTTTTCAGGGTTGTGCTCATACACTGTCCTAATCATTTGATCATGGGTCAATCATTTAATGTTAGGTCTTCTTGCTACGAACTAGAAAGTCGAAAGAATTCTAAATGGTACAAAATTGCGAACTTTTTTCTTGGAGATTTTAACCAATAACTGAAGGAACTACTGAGGATTTAACTTACTCAAATAATTAGAGCAAAACTTAACTTTGTTCTACTTAAGACCCGATGAAGAGGATTTGAGATTCCTTTAAGTCAAATGTTTTTCATCGTTAGACACACCTGCCAAAGGCCAATATTTGAACAGTTCATTTTGCCAAACGCTTTGGTATTCGAATACTCCCTTTATAAATTAAAATTGTGTGTTCCTATTTTTTGAACAAGAGTTCAGGGACCGTTCAAAAATTATGTAAGCTACTTAAAGCAGGAGGGGGTTTGAACTTTATTGGGCCACCACTTTGAATTGTTGATAGTTTATGATCTCCGGTTTTCCCTGAGGAATCTCATTTTCTATTCTCTTTCTAATGACGATCACTCAATGTGGGTTTTTGAAAAAAAAAATTCCAGCTCGTGATCAGCCCCCTTCAATTAGATTTTTGTTTTAAAAATCTCTATCTGAAGACACATGATTGAAAATAAAATTAAATTTTGAACTTTTCAGAGGTAACCAGCAGCCATCAACTCTCACCGATCCAAAATGGCGTTCCGATAAAGTTAAAAACTGCAAAACTTCCATTGGCTGCCATTTTGAAACGATATGATACAAGGAAAAAATGGATTGCTGATTTAAGAATTAAATTGTTAAAAAATAAGCCCGACATGTTTCAAATGTACATTTTACAATAGTGGAAAGCTAATTTAACCACGGTTTTCATTGTAAAATCTACATTGGAACATGTTGGAAACTTTTTTTAAGTACAGAATTATTAATTCGGTAATTCAATTTTTTACAGGTCGACAGAGACTTGCAATTAGGAGGAAAATGCCGCATTTTTCGTATAATTTTTAATGATGCAACGCAAGTGGAGGAGGGTGTTTTGGGGAAACAGTTAGGGTACATGCCTTCCTCAAGGTGGTCCTCCTAAAATTGTAAGGAGTCTCAAAAGTAGTTCCTTTCAATTATTGGGCACTCCCAAAATTTCAAGTCTCTATCTCTGTTTGTACAAAAGTTACAGGGATGGTGCAGTGTTTTAGGATCACCCTGTTTACCTCTCCATTTCTGCATCCAATCCCAGGGCTAAAATTTTTCGGAATATCGGTTAAGGAAAATATTCCCTTGACCGTGATTCCATCCCTGGTCGCGCACTAGTTGCCAGGCGGAAGGAACCGTCCAACTTTGGACTTTGAACTTTTGACGGTCCCGAGTCCTCGGATACGAGCTGAATGGGAAAAGTTGGAGCGGGAGTTTGGACCCGGCGGAGACACGAGATGGCGCACAGTGGATCCAGTGGCGTGGCGTGCTTTGCGATGTATCGATATTTCCTCATTTGAAGCTATGGTAAATAATCGATTATTAAGGTGTTCGCACAACTCCAACGAATACAGACGCCTCAAAAGGGTAAAGCCGTGAGAACTGGCCAGTCCCTCAATCTGAACCGTTAATTTTAATTCATTATAATTTAATATGTAAATAAGTTACAAACTGCTCTGCTGTTTGTATTTTCTCTTTATATAATTCAGAAACAAAGTGTATATTTTCATTATGAAAGCTCACTTGTAACTAAAAAAAAAAAAAATAAAAGTTTTCGCCCCAAACACCCTGTTTATCGATACTTTTCCATAGGTTTAAATGACCGATCATTCGATATATCGCAAAGCACGCCACGTCGCCACGCCATTGAGTGGATCGAGTCAATGAAACATATTGGAAATTATTTGGAAACTTGAAAAGCTTTCATCTTCGTTATCATGAAACGTGGAAGTTCACAATTCGTCGTTTACTTGACGAAGAAACGTAACTCCATTCTAAAGTTACAATGTTGACTCAAACAATCTGATTTTTTACAATAATGTGCCTGTGATATTTTTGTCCAAGCTTTTGTCAAACTGACCCTTGCATGAAATCGGAAGGAAAGTCAGTGAAATTTTTAGCTAGAAATACCCAGGTAAAAATGCAATTTGTGACGTGTAGTGTGGCCAAACTTCCCTTCATAAATTGCATTTTTACGTCGAGAGTCATGGGTATTTCTAACTAAAAATTGCACTGATTTTCCCTCTAATCTCATGCAAATATCAGAAAAATTTTGGAAATAAATTGCACAGGTACGTTCTTATAAAAAATCCAATTGTTGTCCAGCTGACCCATTTCCTGCAATAACCACCCCTTGATATTTAGAATGTGACAAGATCTACATCAAGATTTGCAATATTAGTCAAAAATTCTATGTCCGATCTATCCCGATGGATTGCCCCATCGTGTGGTGGAACTATAATAAACATATTTGTGTGTTTGTTTTTGTGCAGACTTTCGCGAACATTGCGCCGACAGGGTTGATAGACGGGGCGACGCGGGAGCTGATGCGGAGGCCGAGATGCGGTCTGCCGGACATCCCGACCACCAACTTCCGCAGCAAGCGCCACACGCTCCACGGACAGCGCTGGCACCACACCAACCTCACTTGGAGGTTAGACACACTTGCATTCTCGCTCTTTCACCAGCTGTTTTTTTTTCGTGTTCAACGTCAGACTGTGGATCGAGTCAATACTGCCGTTCTTAGGAAAAACGCAGTATGAGCCTTAAGCCGTTGCCAAGTTTCCTTTGACAATACACAATTATTTCGGCTATATTCGCATGTAATGTACCTTCGAACCTGCAGAGAATTTTGTTCGCACTTCAATGTAAAACATCTGAAAATTGCAAGGAAGAATACTCTTAACTCTCTTCCAAAATAAGTATTCGCTGAGAGGAAATTTGGCAACATTAGAATGCTCATACTGCGTTTTTCCTTAGCACGGCAGAATAGGAGTAGTCGGAAAAAAATGGACCACTAGACAAGGCACAAAATTAAGCATTCTGATGCATGTCTCTCAACCAAAATTTCACGTAGAACACGATTCAAGGAACGAAAATTACTGGAACTAACGCCTAACCAAGATATTCCATGTTTTTTGACGCGTGAATTCAAACCTCCCGCTCATGAAAACTCAAGGGTCCGCGTGAGTCAAATCGCAAACTAAACGTCACCGTGGCAGTCTCTGCGATACGAAAATATCGTAGCCTCAATCATGACGCTTCGGCTCAGCTGTAGTAAATTGTTTTCACTTAAACAGGGTGGGAAAGGAACAATGCTCGATTGAGAAGCCTGCCGAAACCCTTGTAAGGCGCGATTTGACTCACGTAGAGTATTGAGTTCCATGCGACCGGGCAATTCAAATTTCCCGTAACCAATGTACAATAAAAACTTTAGGATCTTAGTTTCGAGTTAATTTCAGTAATACTCGACGAGGAAATCATGTTCTAAGTGAAGTTCTTGTTCAAAAACATGTAACAGAGTGATTAAATTCGTACCTTGTCTAGTAGTCCATTTGGAGACACTAAAAGCTCATAACTTCGTTCATACAAAACTTTGAGGTTCTGAAAGTGGCTAAATTGGTTTCCTTGTGAAATTTCCCTCTAAAACCACCCCTTGAAATTTTAAATGTGACGAAAGAAACATCAAAATGCTGTTTTAGTAAAAATGCCATGTCCAACCTCTCCAATTGACTCGATTAGCTGTGCGTCATGACCAAAGAGCTTGTCTTGTACAGTCATGTTAATAGGATGACGGAAGAGAGGCTGCCAAAAAAGATGCTTGCTTGGGTCCCTCCTAGCAGGCGACGAAAGGGACGCCCAGTAAAAGGGTGGTGACAGGGGGTTTTAAATGAGATGAGGAAGTGTCACTCCCTGACGGATTGTGGGAGGACCGAGTTTTGTGCCGGTTGGGCGTCGCAAAGCGCCAGAGAGCGCTATGACGGTGGCCAGACTCTTTGCCCAATGTTGTTTGGTCCAAAGTTTTCATGGTTCATTTTTAAGTTTGTCCTATAGTTTTTTCAATGTTTGTCGATGTTTTTTGAACCAACAATTGACTTAGTCCAGTTGCAAGCAATGAAATAAGTGCTGAGATTTCGCCAAATAATGAACTTTAACCCTTATATGCCAAAGCTGTGTGAAACTGACGCCAGGATCACTGAAAACACGTGCCCCCTGGGCCAGTAAATCCGAACTTTAGATGTAGGTCTGCAAATACATCTTAAAATGGGATAATATATCAAATTTAAGAAAAAAGGGGAAAATTCAATTATCAGCACAGCTGAAGGTAGGAGAGACCTTTTGGGTCTGGCTTTTTTAAGTTTTCCCCGAACCAGAACGACAGTTCATTAGCAGCCAAGAGCGGAGTATCGCGAGCTCTCGTCTCACGCCATCGCGCCTTCAATTTTGCAGATGCAACACGGACATCCTTCAAGCACGAATAGTTGTATCCCTGTGCCGTTATCAACGCGCAACCTTTCCCTTGCTCTATTTCCACGTTTTGTTGGTTCCGTCTGTCTTATTCGTAGTAGTGCTTCAAGGGCTACGTGAGCAAAACAGACGAAGATAGAAGAGATGTAATCGGGCCTTTTTTTAAAACTTTTCTCCTGAATCTGAGCGACACCTCATCGGCAGAATAAGGCGGAGCATTGCGGTTCACACCTCGCGCCATCACGCCTTCAATTTTGCAGATGCAACACGTACATCCATCAAGCACGAATATTTGTATCTCTGCGCCGTCATCAAAGTGAGTCCTTTCTCTCACTCTATCTCCATGTTGTGTTGGCACCGTTTCTCTTATTTGTAGCGGTGCTTAAAGAGCTACTTGAGCAACACAGCTAAAGTATAACTTCGATTTTTGTCGGTCAAATTGGGTAAAAAAATTGGGTGAAGCGCTGTTTAAGCGCTTTAAGATGTTTTTCCTTAATCGGTTTGGGGAGAACAGTACAGCTAGATCATTTTTCATCAAATTTTTCAATAAATTGCCCGACTATATTGAATTATTGAACTACTCTTCATAGTGAATCATTTTACTCGACTTTGCCGAGCTAGAACTAAATATATCATGATCGATTTTCGGTTTTCTTTTCCCATTCAGAGACATATTTTGCTTGAATCTCTTACTTAACGGTAAGCTGTGTTCTGCAGCAGGAATTTTATGAGCTATATTAAATCATCGGATTTTTTCGTCACGCTCAACGAAATGTAAATTGTTTTCCTCACAAATTTCTAGTTAAAATTTTACTGTTTCTACGCGTTGCTTGACAGGCTGAATTCGAGTTTTAACAAATTTCATAAAATTTCATTTTGTAAAATCCATGAAATTTTCATTTTTGGCCTTAACGTCAAACGATACAGCGTGTACATAGCTAAAGAGAAATAAATTACAGACATTACATAGGGAGCTATTTGATAGAAAACAAGGACGGAGAGTGAAAATTAGAGAGAAGAGATGTATGGCATGAGTCTTCCAATCTGTCCAGACAGAGATCTAAACTATGGGTGCGTCTAAGACGCCGAGACGTATTGAGAGCCTGTCATCGGTTAAGTCTGGTATGGTATGTAAAGCTGAAGTGCCGCTCGCTTGAATATCTGTTTACAACGGTTCCCATGGCCACCGTATCACTGAGCGGAGTACTGAGTACTAGAGATGCCATACACGTAGCGCGCTCTACCACTAAAAACATCAACTTGATTCGCCATGAAGTTCATTCACTTCAGCGTTTCGCCAGTAGAGTGCGCTACATAATACTTACTATCTTCCATAACTATCATCGAACTTTTCAAATAATTTTAGTCCGTGGATACTCAGGCAATTAATTAATTTCTCATTGTTCCTCCCCACTCGTTTTGATATGCCAGTGATCATAATAATTGAATGGAGTCTTGATCAAAATCAATTTAATACATTTTGTAGACTGTTGTGATCAGACCAATTAAAAAAAAAAAAAAAAAAAAAAAAAAAAAAATGTAATCCTTACGTATTGTTTTTTGCTTAGTTTGCTTCTCGCGAGGTTTTAAATCCTGGCATGCTTCCGAAATAAATTACGATTCTTTCTTTTTTTTCATTTCAATTTTATTTGCTTTTCTCGTAACATTTACTTACTCTCAAGCCTGCGTACTGGCCTTAAGGCTGTTCTGTCATTGGCAGTTACGCCCTATTGTGCACCACGTGCCCGGTGGTAAATAGTATGAAAGAAAACGCTAACTTACGCTTTTATTCGTGAATTTACTCATCAAAGTCAGCAGTTGAAGTTTTTTCGGCAATTTGATTTTAGCTCGATAACAGCAAACTTTATTTGAAATCCCTGACAACCGAACTTTAAATTTGACATACTTAATAACAAGCTCTAGATGTTTTGTTGACAATTTTATTTCTCTCGACTAAAAGTTTTTAGACTTTCTGAAACCTGAAAAGAATTCGAAAAATTTCAGATTCTATACTCAAAAATTTTTCAAAATTTGATGGTACATCATAAGGAGGGAATTGTTATTCTATCACACTTAAAAACTTCGATTGTATGAGTTGAACGTCCGGTATTTCATGTCGATTGAACTGCCAGCTTGGTTCATCCGATCGAAATATTTTTCAGTTTAAACGTTAACATCCGGCTTGCACTGGCGTCCGTTTGCTCTCTATTTTTTCATGATCATTACAAAAATCAATACCTCTATGACTCACTAAATATGTCATAAAAAGTAAATAAATTATTCAATTTTTTTTGGGTGGGGGGGGAAAGAAATAAATAGATAAATATTAAATAAACAATGTAAAAAAGGATGAACGGGCGGGAGCAACCTTACATTCAGTTCTCATTGCATTTATAACTTAATGGCCGCTTCATAAATGACGTGGAAAAAAGTATTTCTCTCTTTTTTTCGAGTGGAGTTGAGTCTAGAGCCAAGAATCTCGGTCACAATGTTGCCGTGCTATTTCTCTCTGAAAGCCGTCAAGAATAAAAATCTGGGGCGTCATGTCGGTGGGAAAGGTTTGACTCTTAACTCTTTTCGTAAAGAGCTTCTCGATCATAAGCTCCTTCAAAAAGTAATGGAAATTGCTGATAGTATCATATACACTAAAAAAAAAAAAACACATTGGATCTAGAGTCCAGACTCTTAAAAACATCGACAAGAAAAAGTACTCTTGATTCAATCAGAATCTACCTTAAATCAAGAACCAAGCCTCTTAATTTAAGCGGATTTCGTTTTGATTCAAGCAAAAATCCGATTGAATCAAGAGTATTTATTTCTTGTCAATGTTTTCAAGAGTCTGGACTCTAGATCCAATGTGTTTTTTTCCAGTGTGCCGCTTGGCATTTTCATATGAAAAAAACATACTTAGCATTTTCCCATAATTCCATATGTCATCAGATAAAACTAACTACCATATTGACTGTTTAACAACAATTCAAAGTTTGAGTTTGAAAAACAGGGGATATGAGAAAAATTCTGTTCTGTATGCCACCACTGTTCACTGGAAAAAAAAACACATTGGGCCAAACTCTTGAAAGCATTGACAAGAAAAAGGACTCTTGATTCAATAAGATTTAAGCTTAAATCGAAAGGAAATCTGCTCAAATTAAGAGGCCTGGTTCCTGATTTAAGCTTAAATCTGAT